GCCCAATCGACACTACCTTCAAACTTGGCCCGGTGCAGATGTTGGAAGCAATGTGCTGAATCTCCTGTGACGAAGGCCATGGCAACTTACTTTGTGGGTTGGTTTCCGTTTGCATTTTCTCACGATGTATTTAAAGTTTGAAGCCAGAGGCCTCACGAGAACTGTTATGGCAATATATTCAAATCATTTACTGGATCTAAATTAAACCCATATTTGCTGTCAAGGCTTGGGCTTCAACAAGGTCAATTTTTTCACCCGCGTGTCTGGCACACACTGTCATCGCTAGGCGACCCCTAACAAGCCGTCGCACTGGCCTCTGCCGAGCAAGTCTGTTGGAGTGTTCTGAGTTTAAACACTACATCTTAAGGCTAATCCTGTTACTCTTGGTATCTCACCTGGACTGCTCGGCTGCATACAACTGTTAACAGGTTGATCCGGACACACAGCAGGAAAACAGAAATGCTGAGGTCCGTTGAACTGACACCTGCCCATGTGTAGAACACGGCTTTATTGGCCGCAGGCATTCAAGCGCACACGTGCAGGGTCTAGCTTTTGAAAGAAGGCCAAAGCCTCTTCTGCATTGAATTTTTGAGCCACTGCTTGCCATACCTGAGATCATTATGGTCTTCACGAAAACCCGGTTGAGTGTCTACTAAGGGTTTCGCAATAACAGTTAAAGACATTACCCTTGATTGCTGTTGCGAGTTGCTTCCAAATGCTTCTCATGATCCGCGAGCAAAAGCACAGCCTGCGACTTGACTTTTGCAGCCCTGTCCAGGAAATGCTGNNGCTTCCACGCTTCTGGCATTCTGCAGCAACAAGTCTGGCAATCTCGATGTGGTCCTGGACGAATCGATCGGTCAGCCAGATGACCCGTTGGGTCTGAGTCGCTGGCAGGAATGCAATGGTCGGGCCACTGGCCACGCTGGTGGCTAAGACCTTGCCCTCAAGCACTGCTTGCCAGTGGCTCTGAGACGGTGGGTTCAAAACGTCCTGCACAATGAGTGCACTGGGGCGTGGATCTTCCTCACGCCTCTGGCGCAAAGTGGACTCCCGGTCGCTTTTCCGCACTGCAGCAGTATCCAGGGCCTTCTGCTTCTCCAAGACGGAAGCAATTTCGGAAAGCTCATGTACTGTTGCTTGCTCCAGGAGATCGGTTCGGCCGGCCTTGACCTCCTCAGCCATCTTCTTGATCCGCTTCGATTGCACGAATGCCACCTGCAATTCATGACTGGCTCTGACAGCACAATCACTGCAACACACTCAAACCACTTACTGACTCCGAGTCGAATAATAGTAGACTAGTAGCTGCAAATGCACTCAGCAGTATTTTGCTGTGGGATCAACCCTTTAACCGGGGTGTTCCTGACTGAGCCTGACTGGCTGGTTGCAAACATGTTTCAATGACTTCCTGCCTCTTTCTCGTGACCTTGGTGCCAAAGGTCCACGCCAAGGTCGTATCTGCCACTTGAGCTTGAGCTCACGGCACCCACTGCCTCACTGACATCGTGCCGACGCTTCCGTAGCCATTGCCTCTCCGACGTGGCAGGCCCTGTGCCACCGCTGGGGGACGACTTGATTCGGCATGATCCAGAGTCCACGCGAACAGTTCTCTTTCCTTTGCCAGAAGCTCGCGGTTGCCCGTATGTTTCGCTCCACAGGGCACACGCCCTAGCAACAACGGTCGCCAAATCTGGATCTGGGATGTCCAGAACGTCAAGGATATCATTCAGATGGTGGTCTGAAAGAGACTCATGAATGCTCTTGGCTTGGGAGAAGGATTGCTCGACTCCAGATGTGGAGGCGCACACTGCCCAGAACCGAATCAGGCCTGCAAGGAGTGCATTCGGTTTGCCCATACGGGAAGTCCTGAAAAGCGCCATGGCCCTTCTCCAAGCTTCTCCTGTCGAAAAGATGAAAACAGCACTCCACACCGACGATACCCGAGGCATCAAGGGTTAATTTGATTGGTCATGGTGTAGTTTTTTTAAGACCCCGTCCTGAGTCAAGAGATTCATGCCTGGCCAAGCGCTCTGCGACGTGGCGAGACTTGTAATACTCATCCTGCATGCTCTGCAACGGAACCTGCATCTTGTAAACCGCATGCAGCTTGGCAAGCAGACCACCTGCCTCCAAACTATCCGGTGCACTTTTTCGGAGGGTGCCACTTGGCACACATCGGAAGACACCGAAGCATTGAATAGTCTCAAAGTTCGGGAATTCTGCAGCCAAGGTCTCCTTCACGACCAAGAACCAGTTGCACATCCTGCCAAGGCATCGTCTGACTGCAGCAGCCGGCACACCGCCTTCTTTCCCGAAGCTGCGTCCCCTCAGCATAAAG